GCGCCCCCGCCGCGCCGCCGCCTGCCCCCCACCCAGCCCCTGCTCACAGCGAGATGTTGGCTTGGCTAGATCCTGGATGGCCCTGGCAGCCACCATCCCTCCCGACATTCACCTCCCCCCTCCAGAGCCCTCCTTTGCTGCAGATACCCCGGTGGCAGGGTACTATGGCGTGCCCCTGGAGACGCATCTCAAGAGCTTGGGCCGGGAGATCGCGCTGCCCATCGAAGCCTGTGTGATGATGCTGCTGGCCTCCGGCATGAGGGAGGAGGTAGGCAGCACTCCTGACCCCCCACCCTGCCACCATCCCCCCCCAAACCCAGCACCCCGTGTCCCTTCCCTCTTCACCCCATCCCCAGGGACTCTTCCGGCTGGCGGCGGGTGCCTCGGTGCTGAGGAAGCTGAAGAGCAGCTTGGCCAGCGGCTCCAACGCCCTGGAGGAGTTTTACTCGGACCCCCACGCCGTGGCCGGTGGGTGCCCCCCCCCCACCCACCATGGCCCCCCCCGCTCCCCCTCCCCTTCAAGGTGCGCTGAAATCCTACCTGCGGGAGCTGCCCCAGCCTTTGATGACCTTCGAGCTCTACAACGAATGGGTCAAAGTGGCCAGGTGGGTCCGGGCGTTGGGGCGGAAAAGGCTGGTGGGGCTCAAAAAGCCCCATCACCACCCTCCCTCCATCCCTCCCAGCACTTGGAACAGGCTCCTTTGCCACGTGGGGAGGTAAGAACGCAGCGCCTGGTCTGTCCCCTGCTCGGCTGAAAACCAGATGGCCCAAAATCTGAGAGAATAGCAATAAAAAAATACAGAAGGGAAAGCAGGAAGGCTGCAGCCTTTTTGATTGCAAGAAGCGCTCAAACTATGAAGACCCTCATGGCTTCAATGGCATGAGCTTCACCTCACCGGCCCACCAGCCCAGTTTGGCCTCTTGCTTTCGGGATGGAAGGGGTGGTGGAGGCGGCACAGCAAAAAGCCTGGGGGAAGGGGAAGGGCACCTTTCTTGAGATATCAGCTCAGTGCCATTGACCCCTGTAGCTGTGGTGAAATAGGGCTGCTGCTCGTGGCAAGGCAGTGCTCGTCCCCAGGCCCTCCCACAACTTATGTTCACATCGTATTGAATCCCTCTGAGCCTTTGGGATGCGGTAATGGCAGTAAAGGCAGCAGAAGAGCATCTCCATCCCCGCACGGGGTGGCCAGCGCTGCCCTTCCTCCCCTCCCAGCCACGTCCCTCTCTGCCGTAGGGAGCGGGCTGAGCTCTCCGCTCCTCCCTCCTCTCTCTCGCAGCTTAAAGGATGTTGACAGCCGCGTACAGAGCCTGCAAGACACCTGCAGCCGCCTGCCCCGGGAGAGCTACAACAATCTGAGGTGTTTTGCAGGGACGGGGCTTCTTCGGCCCCAAGCAATCACTGGGGGCAGTCGTTCCCTCCCCGAATCCGTACTTACTGCCCCCTTGCCCTCCTTTTCCCCCACAGGTATCTGATCAAGTTTTTAGCCAAGCTGGCCGAACACCAAGAGTTGAATAAAATGACCCCCAGCAATATCGCCATCGTGCTGGGCCCCAACCTGCTGTGGGCGCAGCAGAGCACAGGGTAAGGCCTGGCTCGGAGGGGTGGGAGGCAGCCCGGGGTGCCCTGAGCACTGACACCGTGGGAAAGGCTGATCTAAAGCACCTGCAGCCTCTTCCATCTTCAAGTTCCATCCCTCACCCACGCACGGCCAGAGCAGCACGTCCCCTCGCCAAGCACACGTCTGCTGAGCCGCTCTGCAAAGTAGCAGAGGAAGGGGCTGAGACCAGGACTTGTGACATGGATGGCCTCCAACACCGTTGGCCTCCAACAGCAAACTAGGGTTTCCAGGACAGGGAACAAGGTTGGCCTCCAACACCAAACTAGGGTCTCCAGGACAGGGAACATGGCCCACCTCCCACCCTACCAACCCCCTCGGCTGGGTTGTCTCCCTTTAGGCTCTGCCCCCTCAGGGATGGACACCAGAAGGGTTAATGCTCCAAAAACCTTCTTCTGATGCCTCCCCCACCCCTGTCTTTCAGAGACCCTGTGCAGCTGGACTTGGCCTCGGTGTCCTCCATCCAGGTGGTTGGCGTGGTGGAAGCCCTCATCCAGAATGCGGACACCCTCTTCCCTGGAGGTAGGGCCAGGGCCAGGCTCGGGGGGCTGCAGCAGAGGGTGAAGCGGGGCAGAAGGGATGGGGACATTTCTCCATCGCCAGGAGGAGGAACACAGGGGGCTACTGTGGATCCCCGCCGTGGGGTCGCCGGGGGAAGCTCTGCACGGCAAGCGCTTCTTCACGGGGTCTCCTCCTTGCTCTCCACTCAGAGGTAGATTTCAACGTCTCGGGCATGTTCACGCTGCCCGCAAGCAGCGGACTTGGCGAGGCCGACCCAGTGGAAGAGCCGTCGCCCGAGCCCCCTCTGGCCGGGACCCCCGCTCTCCTGGATGGAGAGGCGTAAGTCCGGCGGGGGCCGGGGGGTCTGCCCCGCCCCGCTCTTTCATCCCACCCCGCGCCACCAGCCGTGTCCTTGCCAGAGGGATGCAAGGTGCCTCATGGCCAGGACCGCCGTGCCCAACCAAACCATGACCTGCCCAGTTCTCCACACAGCACCTCAAGGGACCCCGAGGCCGTGTCTGAGCCACGATCCCCAGCGGTGACCCGACCGTCTCCCGAAGCCATGGGGCCACCGGCTCCGCAGACAACTGATGACACCGCCCGCAAAGGTTAGGGTGCCGCAGCCTGCACAGTGCCTGGGAGATGACACCTCCCAACGTCACATCCCCTGGTTTGCCTTCATCCCACCGTTCCCCGTGAGAAAGGGTGCTGGGGACATCCCGTCTTGGGGTGAGCACCCCCGTGAAGAGGTGTCAAAGCTCACAGCCCCTTGTGAAGGGACGAGGGTGGGCTTGTTCAGCCTGAAGAAGAGAAGGCTGCGAGAGGACCTAATATATGCTTACAAATATCTCAAGGGCGGGTGTCAGGAGGATGGGGCCAAACTCTTTTCAGTGGTGCCCAGCGACAGGACAATGGGCAATGAGCACAAACTGAAGCATAGGAAGTTCCGTCTGAACATGAGGAAGAACTTCTTCCCTCTGAGGGTGATGGTGCACTGGCACAGGCTGCCCAGGGAGGTTGTGGAGTCTCCTTCTCTGGAGATATTCAAGACCCGCCTGGACGTGGTCCTGTGCAGCCTGCTGTAGGTGACCCTGCTTTGGCAGGGGGGTTGGACCAGATGACCCACAGAGGTCCCTTCTAACCCCGAACATTCTGTGATTCTGTGATTCTGTGAAAAGCCCCCGTCATGCGCTTGGGTCTCTGGCGTGGGAGCCGGGCGAGGGGCAGCTTGTCCGTCAGTCTGCCTGACCCACGGCCGGCACCTCAGCCCCCTCTTCCCCGGGGAGAGACCCCGGCAGAGGGGACCCCAGCCCACCCTGGCTTTCTTTCCAGGCAAGCGTCCAGCTCCGTCCCGACCCGCGACACCGCTGCCGCCCGTGGCCCATCCCCGCAGCACGGC